TTATGTAAGATGAGAGCATTTAGGATTGCATAGACATTTGTATAGCTTATTTAATTGTTTTTTGAATATCATCATAAATATACAGAACTGGTGCACTGAAAGCATTGTGTGAATTGAGTCTTGAAATGGGTGTGGATAATGAGAATACTGTTGAGTCTATCGTTGACTATCACTGCAAAGAGTTTGTCAATCAATGGCCACAACTCAAGAGATACCGATTGGATATGGATGAGGGCCTGAATACACACTTTTTTGGAAATTAGCATCGATTAAGAAATCCTATTAGTCAAATCATATTATAATGTATTAAAAACTTCTAAGAAATTATTTAATGTTAACATTGTTTGCAATATTAAACACATATTAATATATTATATTATAATATTCTGTAATTTTATTTTCTCTCTAAACGTGTCATTAATTTTGAAAGTGTTTTGTTGATTATTATAAGAGAAAAGACGTCTTTTTAAATGAGATTTTAAATTTACTTTAAATGTGAGTGTTAGCAAAATATGAATCATTTGTTGCCTATTTGTTTGAAAAAGGTGAATAATATGCACTAGTTTTGTATGATAGGAAAACATTTTTAGTTATTTAAGTAATTACTAGTTATGATTGCAATTTACATGATATTCAACGCAAATATTACTTATGAATTGTGACACTTTTGAGTCACATTTGTTCAATGCTATAACTTATACGGCGCCTAATAGGCCATAAAATATCTCAATAAACAATAACTTGATTGTATTCACTGATAATATGATAATACAATATGATTGTGCACTTTCATAAACTATGTAGGGTGCAATATTATCGTATATAACGGTAATTAAGTTTATACAGTACCTATTTCATTTACACGTAATCATTTCTACTTTGATTACCAAAATATTTATTTTAATCACCACCCTGCATATTTTGTTAAACAAAATTCATTAAATGTGTTCACATTGATACAAGTACATTTATTTCCTAAATCTATTTATTGATCAGGTTTGTTCAATATAATTTGTATAGTCAATATTTATAATTGCAGTAAATTTTTAAGTTATACAGTATATCATTAATAATAGTATTTCATCAAGGTATTAATAAACAGATCCCAAGTATGTCGAAGAATGACAAGATTGAGACTCAAGAGGAATATTCGAAAGACTCTTTTGATAGATATGGCGATGACTTGTATGGACTCGTATTGTCTTATTTATCACTCAAAGATTGTCTCCGATTTGAATGTCTGTCCAAACAGTGGCAGCGATTGGTATTCAAACGACAACACAGTCTTATTGTTGTTAACGAATCCATAGATAATAGAGAGATAGAGATATATGCAGGGAAAGCCTTCAAAGCAATCGATTTGATTGCATTGGAATCGGTGGTCACAAAGTGTCCAAACATTACATCCATTGATATTCAGATCTATTCAGAAGAGACACAAAGAGTGTTTGAAAGACTAATGGATTCATACAAACACTCATTGATTGCAATTCATGTCAGATTTTACTATGGAATTGATGTCCAAATAATGGACACAATTTTTGGCAAATATGGCCCACAATTGACCGCAATATCATTATATTCAGAGGGTTTCGATTTGATTACATCTCACGCAAAATCGTTCACAAATCTCACACAACTGTTCGCTAATCACGTGAAGGGTGTGTTGCCAACGATTGTCACCGAAAGCAATGAGATATTAGTCAAGAATTTAATAGAAATCGACTTTTTTTACAGCGATTCTAAATTGCAACGATTGCCAGCATTTGTTGATTACTATAAGAATAGCTTAAAGTCTTTACACTTTAGTTTGGTTTTAGGAGATTTCAGTTCACCTGAAGAATGGATTCGTGTACTGAAACTCATACCACAGATGAGAGTATTGCGAGAATTAAGTCTTGTAATAGGTGTGGATAATGAGAATACTGTTGAGTCTATCGTTGACTATCACTGCAAAGAGTTTGTCAATCAATGGCCATAACTCAAGAGATATCGATTGGATATTGAGTGCAGAACTGTCGCACAAATGAGACGATTGTATGAATCGGTGGGTCGTATGAAACAATTACGACGACTGGAGCTAATACTGATGGAATTGTATGTGAACGAAGTACTGGCCATTGAATTGACACCGAAATCATTGTCACCACTGAAACGGTTAACACATTTCGAGTTAGATTCCTACAGATGTGTATTGAATGAGACATACTTTGACTCAATTCACACACATTTACCACACCTTCAGAGTCTGAAGATTTATACCAAATTAGAGATAACACCGACTATTGAGGTGATGGTTAGAAAGTTACCGAAACTTAAATGTTTTGAATTTAACACTCAATGAGTCCACTGACGGGAATGACACTGATTTGAGTGATTCCGACGGTTATTCCACTGGGGAATTGGCAAATTGACCTAAAAACCAATTGACCTAAACTTAAATAATTTAATGACCAATAGACTTTTGACCATTGTAAGGATAGGTAAGGTTAGGTTAGATCAAGGGGAACATTTTACACTGGTCATCAGCTATATTTACCTACTGGTCATTAAGTTATTTAAGTTTAGGTCAAATGGTTTTTAGGTCAATAGACCCGCACCCATTCCACTGATTATTACAACTTTTTAACCTAAGTTTCATAAAATTAATAAGTTTTGAGATAACGAACAAACTTTTTGTGACAAAAGTTTTACAAACTGAACAATTGCTAGACATTTTGACATACAATTGCATTCAGTATCATATGCTAAAGATATTAAATAATGTTACCTCTACTTTGATTACCAATATATTTATTTTAATTGCAAACCCTCCATATTTTGTTAAACAAAAATCATTAAATGTATTTATAATGATACAAGTACATTTATTCCTTAAACTATTTATTTATTTATTAGGTTTGTTAAATTAAAACACAATTCGTATAGCTTGTACATTTATAATTGTAGTAAATTTTTGCTTTATATGACATTATGAATAGTATTTAATCAAGGTATTAATAAATAGGATCCCAAGTAAGTTATGTCGAAGAATGATAGGAATAAGACTCCGAAGGACTCGTTTGATAGATATGGCGATGACTTGTGTGGACTCCTATTGTCTTATTTTTCACTCAAAGACTGTCTCCGATTTGAATGTCTGTCCAAACAGTGGCAGCGATTGGTATTCATATCACAAGACAGTCTTATTGTTGTTAACAAATCCATGGATTATAGAGAGATATATGCAGAGAAAGCCTTCAAAGCTATCGATTTGATTGCATTGGAATCGGTGGTCACAAAGTGTCCAAACATTACATCCATTGATATTCAGATCTATTCAGAAGAGACGCAAAGAGTGTTTGAAATACTAATCAATGCATACAAACACTCATTGATTGAAATTCATGTCAGATTTGACTATGAAATTGATGTTCAAATAATGGATACAATTCTCGGCAAATATAGCCCACAATTGACCGCAATATCAGTGCAACCATCGGGTTATGAAGTGTTGAGATCTCACCCAAAGTCGCTGACAAAACTCACACAACTGTTCGCTACAAGCCCGTTGAGTATGTTGTCGTCAGTGATTGTCACCGAAAACAATGAGATATTAGTCAAGAATTTGACAGAAATTGACTTTTATAATAGGGATTATAGATTGCAACGATTGCCAGCATTTGTTGATTACTATAAGAATCGCTTAAAGTCTTTAAAACTTGCTATGGTTTACACTAAGACGGATGAATGCATGCCTGTACTGAAACTCATACCACAATTGAGAGCATTGCGTGAACTAAGTCTTGAATTTAATCCCGCTTACGAGGAGTTCGTTGAGTCTATCGTTGACTATCACTGCACAGAGTTTGTCAATCAATTACCACAACTCAAGAGATATCAGTTGCGTATGTATTGTAAAAGTAGTGCACAATTGGAAAGATTGTATGAATCGGTGGGTCGTATGAAAGGCTTACGACGAGTAAAGTTAATACTGAGGAAAATTCATGTCTCTTATGAGAGAATGTCTCTTATTAGCCATTGAATTGACACCGAAATCATTGTCACCACTGAAACGATTAACACATTTAGAGTTAGATTTACACTTTTGTGTATTGAATGAGACATTCTTTGACTCAATTCACACACATTTACCACACATTCAGTGTCTGAGGCATACATACCGTTGTCTGTCTGGTAAGGCGACTGGCCATCAATATATCGACTGTATATTAAAACGTTACGTAATATACGATTTGAACCAGACTCATTTGAGTGATTCCGACGGCTATTCCACAGATTATTAAACTTTTTAGCATAAGTTCCAAACAATTCATAAGTTTTGAGATAATGAATAAACTTTTTGTGCCAAAAGTTGTTATAAACTGAACATTTTTGTTATACAATTGCTATATATTATCGCTTGCTAATGATTTCCACTATTTAATGCTATGTTTAATGTCATACTAATTATTAAATAAAAATAATTAAATTACCAGGATATAAAATACATTAATTTCCACACAAAAAAGTTTTTCAATTGACTTTTCACTGACAGATATAACAATCGTAATGACTATACGACCCCTCAATACAACACTGCAGTCAATGCATTGCATGTCAACAATGAGTTCATAAGATATTTACCACCACTTCAGCCATGATTTCACGGATCAGTTGATCACCACAGACACCAACAATGGTAAGACATACCACACCACACATCCCACTCTCACCACAACCACACAGACCTCCACTAACCCTCCAATTGTCTCCACAATAGTCACAAATGGGAAAAATGAAAGCCTTTTCTCTGACCACTTCCTCGTCAGTGAAGAAAGTGTTGGGAAAGAAAGATATCGAGAAACAGAAGAAGATCGCCGAAGAAGAGGCGGCCGCTAAG